TGGCAGGGGGGTTGGAACTAGATGATCGTTGAGGTCCCTTCCAACCCGAACCATTCTGTGATTCTATGATCACGCTGGCAGGACAGCAGTTAGGTTCCTGGGCTCTGTGTGGTGGAAATCAGAGTGATTTTTGTTGGGGTGGCTGAAGGCAGGGTTGTTCCCACCAGCCTGCAGCACAGGGCCCCGTGGGAGGCTGATAGGTCCCAGCACATGGTGCCCCCCCCAAGCCTGGCTGGGGCAGACCTCCCACCTCAGATAGCCTGTCCTCAGCCCTGCGGAGCGGGCCAGCTGCCCACGAAGGGACTTTCTGCATGGCTGAGCCCTGCCAGCCGACAGGAATGGGCAGGAGCCCGGGGCCTGGCAGAAAACGGCTGAGGTTTGGGCAAAGCTCTGCTGTGCGTAGACAGAGCTTGCAGAGAAGCTCGCCACGGAGCCTGGGCTCGAGTGTGCCCGTGAGCGGGTGGAGGGAGCTCGTGCTGCCCAGGCAGAGCTTGGGCTGGGGCACTGCTCCGGGGAGCTTTATGGTGGGGTTGTAGAGAGGGAATATTGGTGAGCCTACTGGGGGGGAAATCTGTCCTGTGCCTCGAGCGGCAGGGACGAGCTTCCCCCCTCCATGCCAGGCCGGGTGGGACACCGAGGGTTTTGCTGTCCTCCATGCAGGTTCCTCATGGGCGCGTCCTGCGGCGGAGGCAACATGAAGGTGGACGATGTGGCCTATGAGAGTATGGGTCTGCGTCCGCGGCACGCGTACTCCATCCTGGACGTGCGGGATGTCCAAGGCTTCAGGTGAGCTCAGGGTGGAGGCTGGCGTGGTACAGCAGATGTTCCTGCCAGCCCTGGGGACAGGTCATTTGAGGATGTGCTGGACAAGACCCTGGGGACTCTTCGGTGTCCCATCCTCATGGCCAGCAAAGGCTGTTTCTCCATCCCAGCGTGTCACATAAATGCCATTGTCATATAAGCCATCCTTGCCTGGCACTGGCTCCACGTCCAGGGCTGCTCTGCTCCGGGATGCCCTCTGGTGCAGAACGGTTGGTTCACCTACTCTTCTCACCAGATGCAGAGGATTGAATTGAGCTCTTTCAACTCAGTGAGGCAACTGGAGCATCCTTCTCACCTTTGGAGGGTGGGGGGATAGAAAGGGGTGCTGCCTCGACAGCCTGGGTGCTGCACGGAGCCCAGTTTTCATCCATGTCACTCTTGGGATTGTGCAGCTCCGGGCACACGCTCGGCAGCCCCTTCCTGGCTGAGCCCCTTCCCTGCGGCACCTGGCTGGAGGCCTTTGGGCAAGGAAGGGCAGAGGGAGCTGCAGCAGGTCCAGAGCTGCAGGACGTGGGCATCTGGGGCTGCGGTGGGGGTGGCAAATTAGGTGTGAGTTGCTGTGAGGGCTTTGAAAGGCAGGGGCAGAAGTGGCGTGGTGCCCTCTGCGAGGGGCTGGCTGGGTTTGCAGAGCTGGGAGAGCATCTCAGAGGTGGTGTCTTCCTTGTGCTCTCCTTCCTCCTGGGCCTCTGACACTGGTTTTCCCCTTTCCCCAGGTTGCTGCGGCTCCGAAACCCCTGGGGCCGCTTCTCCTGGAATGGCAGCTGGTCTGATGAGTGGCCACACTGGCCGGCTCCCTTGCGGCACGACCTCATGCCCCATGGCAGCAGCGAGGGCGTCTTCTGGATGGAGTACAGCGATTTCATTAAGTACGGTAGTGCCCAGGAGGCAGAGGCTGTGGGGCGAGGAGCCGGGCAGGGGCCAGAAAATGGGACACGGGGCTCAAAATGGGGCAGCTTCCTGCGGGTGCTCCAGGCTGGGGCGCAGGGGCAGAGCAGTGTGCCCACAGAGGACCCTGCCGGGGCTGAGCCCACCTTTCCCCACAGGTATTTTGACTCCGTGGATATCTGCAAGCTCCATTCGGACTGGCACGAGGTGCGCGTGCAGGGCATGTTCCCCAACAAGGCCAACGGGCCGGTGACGGTGACGTCGCTGACGGTGTTGGAGCGTGCCGCCCTGGAGTTTGCCCTCTTCCAGGAGGGCAGCAGGTGAGCCGGGCAGCACGCCGGCAGCGACCCGGACCCAGGAGAAATCCCAAACATGTCGCCCTCTCGCCCCATGCCATCCCACAGGGTCGCAGAGCTCAGGGATGGGCCCCCATCACCATTTCTCCAGTTCTGAGGGTCTGCTCGTGCTTTAGCCGAAAGCCAAGCGCTGAACGCACGCTGGTTCCTGGGGCTGGGTGCTTGGGGCAGCAGGAGGGCTCTTCCTCTGGATCTGCTGTCCTGCCCGTGGTCTCCACGTGCTCTGCGGGGCAGCACTTGGGTGACGTATGGCCCTTCTCTGGAGAGGGACTTTTTACAAAGGTGTGTAACAGGACACAGGGCAATGGCTTTAAACTGAAAGAGGTGAGATTTTGATGAGATCTAAGGAAGAAATTCTTCCCTCTGAGGGTGGTGAGGCACTGGCACAGGTTGCCCAGAGAAGCTGTGTCTGCCCCATCCCCGGAAGTGTTCATGGCCAGGTTGGATGAGGCTTTGGGCAACCTGGTGTAGTGGAAGGTGTCCCTGCCCATGGCAGGGGGGTTGAAACTGGATGATCTTTGAGGTCCCTTCCAACCCAAACCATTCCATGATTCTCCTCCTCCCATCGCAGGCGGTCGGACACGGTGGACAGCCACTTGCTGGATCTGTGCATCATGGTTTTCCGGGCCACCTTCACCAGCGGCAACAAGCTGAGCCTGGGCCGGCTGATGGCTCACAGCAAAAGAGCCGTCAAGAAGTTCGTCAACTGCGACGTCATGCTGGAGCCGGGCGAGTACGCCGTCGTGTGCTGTGCCTTCAACCACTGGAGCGCCG